GCTCCCACCCCCCCCCCCCCCCCCATGACTTTGATTAGAAAACAAGGCTCACACCTCCCTTCGGTCGGTGTTCGCTAGCGACTATCTGCAATGCGTTATGAATATTTCTCTGATTTGACGTGTCGGTTTCATAATGTAGTTTAACTCTATAAAAGTTTTCTCGAGATCCCAGAAAGAGCATCTACAAATATTTCTAAATTACAAACAATGCTCACGTGTCCCTTCGGTCCGCGCTCGCAGTCGGCATAGATGTCAATACACTTCTCCGATTCCACAGAAAACCCGAACCCATCTACCAATGTGGATCTATGCCCGTCACACTCATTAGTCACTACACGTATGTACGTCCGTCATACTCACTGGTCACTATATATATGTACGCCCGCCGCACCTCTGTACGGACAAACACACACACACAAATACTTTATTTTATATGACCAAAGACTTACAGTCAATAGAATAAAAATACAAAGTGCAGTGATAATAGTGCCAGTGTATGTACAAACGTGAATGAGAAAATGCGGATAGTAGCAGTCTGTCAGCTACTTTGGGGTGAGAAAAGTGGTCTTATATTAAACGAATAGGCTACTTCCAAATCTTTATCGCGATCAAGAACAGCAGCTGTGTGATATTTATTAATAATACCACATGATATTTGTATAGTCAGATAAATATGCAACCGTGCTATTTTGGATTGTTTTATTAAGAAGAAGCCCATTGCTTTATTTTCCCTATGAAAAAGACAAAGAATGATGTAATGAAAAGGTAACAATATTTTAAATCCTCATGATCAAACACGCTACATCTATGATAAACAGTCACATGTTTATCATACATGCATTCCCATATTTCAACGAGTCCGGTAAACATGCCTGACAGCAACAAAAAAACGTACTTTTGCGTTTTTCGTGAATGCCAGATTAACTCTACTGTTATCACTACTAACAAACGCCAACTGCTTCAGAACAGCCAAATATCCTATGCTGTTTTGTAAATCAATGAAGGCATTATCACTACATCAGTTTGTCGAGAATTGAAAGAGCTATAAAACGGACTATTTTAGAAAAATGGATTTTTTCGTTTTTCGAAAAAAGTTAGCTTAATGATCTTCAGGTCGCATTTTTCTCTAGTCATACTTGTTATGTCAAACTTAATGGTCTTTTGTAAATCGACGAAGATATTTTGAATATACCAGTTTGTATAGAATTGAAAGAGCTTTCTAATTATGGATTGGTTTCTTTATATGCTCCTATAGTGCCAGAGAAAAGCACATAAAAAGGATTTTAATAGTGCTCTATAATGGTCGCTTCCAAGTGAAGATCCTATCGGGACGGAAGGGCTTTAACCACTCGAATGCACCTAAATCTAATGTTCCTGGTTCTCNCATTTTGAGCAAAAACAAAAAGTGGGCCGATTCTTCAACTTATACGGACCCGTCCTTTTCCTATGCGTGGAATATATTAATATTTTTGACTCTATGGCAGATTCAAATGGACAATCAAGAAATGAATTATTTACTAGTGATGGTCTTCATGTGATTGAGCAAGGTTACAAAATATGGACACAAGCTGTTAATGGTTATTTGAAATCTGAAAATTTACTGTCGTCAAAAACTGGCCAAGTGCTAGTGCAGGTGCTTGGTTCTGGCGGGCCGGAGCTTACTGATGGACGTGCATCATCCTCTTATTTGGTGTGGGTGAATCACAAGGCACGTCTGTTGGTCGATTTTGGCAGCGGAGCGGCACTTAATTATGAAAAATCTGGGGCGCTGCCAGACGATCTGGATGCGGTGTTGTTCTCTCATTTTCATGTCGACCATACAAACGATTTTTCTGCACTGGTTAAGGGATTGTGGTTTACTAATTACGACAAGAAGTTGCAAGTCTTTGGACCCAGCAAAAACCAAGAGTTCCCTGGCATCAAAGAGTTTATTACAGCGCTATTCAACCACGACAGTGGTGCCTATGCTTATCTAGGTGATAATGCGGATCCAGAACAGAGCAGTCAGTTTAAAATTGTACCTATAGAAATTGCCAATTCCAGCAGTAACATCAGCAGTTACGCTATCGGCGATGATGTGATGGTGAAAGCCGTTTCAGTTCTGCATGGAACGGTGCCAGCACTGGCCTGGCGGTTGGAGATAAAAGGTTACGCCATAACATTCAGTGGGGATACCAGCAATGAAAACCGAGCGCTAGATCTGTTGGCGCAAGGTAGCGATTTGTTGATTGCTCATAACGCTGCACGAGAGAATGATCCGAGCACGGTCGCGCGCTATTTGCACATGATGCCGTCTGAGATTGGTCGCATCGCTGCCGCGGCAAAAGTTAGGCGTCTGGTGCTATCGCATCGCATGAACCGCACACTGGGTCACGAGGTAGAAACAACTGCGGCGATTCGTAAAAATTATCAGGGGTCTGTCGAGTTTGCCGAGGACTTACAAGTTCTATCGATGTGCTGCCTCCAAAGCAGTAGCCTGGCGCGAATATTTTTTATATACTGTAGTTTGTCTATATATTTAGAGTGCTTTATTTGATTGTGACAGATAGTGTATTTTTCACAATACTATCATGTTCTTATTCAGAGTGCCACCACAGAATGTTTTCTAAACTAACTAAGAGTCGGGCGCGATTTTATCCTGAAACCAGTCCTGTCAAATTTCACTTCCTAATCAGATAATTAGATGCAAAATGTAAATGTTTTCAGACATTCTAACTGCTGCGACATTGGAAAGTTTAGTAAAAAGGAAGTCTTCATCACAAAATACTGACTATATCTTTTTATTTTTAACAGGAGCTGATGACAGTGACTAATCATTTTCGGATATTGAGTAGAATGGATAGATAGACTGTTTTACGTTCTGGCTGTCTGAGAATCACGAACAGATGCATTTTTAGAATCTTCCCATTAGCCTACTACTGAATCACAAGTTTTGATGATTAGTCATAGTAGAACAGTATAAAATAATTACACAACTTCCATCGCTGTATATTGTATAAAGCAGAAGTGGCGCGTTTAGCTATTGCAGGTTTCTGCTGTTATGCTTTATATAGAAAAAAATTTTTAATATTTTGTAATTCTGAAAACCTTCTCTGTCATATTTCTTAAACAAAATAATTCTTTATATAGGAGAAAAGTACAATAACCGATGAAGATCATTGAACTGTTAGTGTATTTTATGAAGTAAAACAGAAAGATGAGCAAGCTAAATGCTTACACAATATCATCTGATAAAAATTTAGATAGAGCGACAAAAACAAAATTCACAAAGCAAATGCAGGTTCAGTCAAAATATCCACAGAACTGATTTTTTCAATCCAAATATCCAAATATAAAATTACTAAATATTCATAATGTGTCAATACCATCTTGAATTCTGAAAGTAAAAAGAACTTTATTCCTTCTGATTACAGGCAGTCCTCAGTAGGCATGCAGTATAAATAACCACTTTATAACAACTTAGTGTGTACTTGGGTTTTAGTTCGTTGATATCGGTTTACATTAGAAGTAGACAAGGATGGTCTTTGTCCTGACGTTATAGTGCACCTACTGATGAATTTATGAAAATTCTAGGGAATAGGTAATCCACTATGAGGAATCCGAAAATGAGTATGAAACCTCTAGGGCGCATTCTGTTGATCAGGAACGTGAAAATGAAACAGAATAGACACTCGACTATGCCGGTTCCGAAAATAGCATTGAAAGTCACTAGTGCTGTAATCGCACGTCGACACAAGAACGTGTTTCTTACGAGATTTCGTTACGGGCCTAGGGTTCCGGGCTTCCATGGCTCACTATCCGCCGCCCGTTATACGAAAGAAGTGTTTCACTGAAATCTTTGCGATAAGTGAACAAGTAGTGCTTGTCTCTCCTTGAATAGTACGTTTGTGAGAATTCGACAGGACGTTTCTAACCAATAGAATACGTCCTAGAGGTCTCTCTTACTCATTTTCGGATTCCTCATAGTGGACTACCTATTCCCTAGAATTTTCATAAATTCATTAGTAGGTGCACTATAACGTCAGGACAAAGACCATCCTTGTCTACTTCTAATGTAAACCAATATCAACGAACTATAAGCCAGATATACGCTAAGTTCTTAAAAAGCGGTTATTTACGGTTACAGTTAACCGTTCGAACGGTTATTTACGGTTAAGGGTTAATAACCGTAACCGTTGCATCCCTAGTCCCCAGAAACCTTAATAAATTAGATATATTTCCAACAATCCAAACCAATCCTTTTGCAATTGACTGAAAGTTTTGTGAATTTTTTAAGATACATTTTTTAAATATAATGGAAAATTTCAAATTTTTTCAATCCTAAAGAATTGCCGTTTTGTGAAAAAAAAAGCGATTTTTGCGTTTGTTCTATGTTTCAAGGCCAATCGAATGGCGTATGGAACTTGACTGCATCTCTTAACCAAAAGACTGCGATGGCTTTGCAAGATGAGGATCTCGAAACCGAATAATGTATCGGGCCCGTTTCCCGCCTAAAAATAATTTTTGATCTGAAGTCTTAAGATATAGTGTTCTGTATGTAGTTTTCAACGCTGAATAAGAAAAACATAGTGTCACGGTTACGAAATGAGGTGGAACCAAGATATTCTGTTTTTAAAAAAAGTTAGTGGTTTTTCGAAAGAAGAGATCCTGCAAATGTTTTGAATTTTTTTCACTGAAAATATTTGCCCGGAAGGTTGGAAACCAGATATTCTTGATTAGAGCAATATCTTGAATGTAGAGCTTTGGAAAGACAGGCTCGGATTTTTACTTCGAAAGCTATACCGTGGTAAGCCTGTTGGATAAGACTCATTTAAACATAGAATTATAGGACTAACGAGGGAACCTCTCGAGGTGATTAAAAGCTTTTCGACTCAGACTATTTTCATCATGTAGGGAATAGTCAGTAGTGAAAAGTTGGTTTGGGCTCATGCGCCTTTTTGACGGAGATATGAGTTAATTACTGAAAATGCCATTAATAATAATTAATTAGCAGCTCACGACCATGACCAGCTAGGAGTCGGGGGGTTTTTACAACAAATGAAAAAAAATTTTTTTTAAAAAAAAAGCCCC